AGCGTTCCTTATTTATTGTTATTTGATGACAATGATCGTTTCAAGGTTTTTGTTGTTTTGTTTTTTACTTTTTGTTATTGGAAAAAGAGTTTTGTTACATCTGTGTGTCTTTTTCATGATCTTCTTGTGACTTGAAGTGGTGATAAAGATGAGGGTCTGGGTTTGTCTGGTGCCCGAAGATCAAGTGCCCTGGAGATTTAACACACAGCAAAATTTCTAGTCATTGAAGAAATAAAAAATGCACCAGACTCCTTTGAGGTTGTGCCTTTCTTCTGTTTCGCCATTTGTGCATTGTTGGGGTTTTTTTCACTCTAATGGAGTTTGTTACAAGAATTCTACCTGATTAAATTGTGGGAGGTTTAAGACACATTGTTCTGAATATGTGTCATGATTTGCTCATGTTACCAACTTTCATCAAAGCCACACTGCTCATAAACACAGTTCAACTAATTATATCAGAAGCACTCGTGTAGAAGAACATGAGGGTGTTGCCAGGACTGTGATTGACACTGGAAATAGTCACAAAGAAGAAACATTTCTTTGTGGTGATTTAGGTAGGACTTTTTGTATGACTGTGTGGTGCACCTTATGGTTGCATGTGGCTGTTTGTGGTATTTCAGCTTGTACTTTGGAAGTGGTTTGGGCATGTGAACAGTTACCAAAAAACAGTTTTAAATCTCACATTTGCTGTTTTGCTGGTGGTGGTGATGTGTGCTCTCAAACAGTTTGTACCATTTCTGACAGCTGGGTTGAGATCTGGCGACTGTTAATGTTCATGTCATCTGCATGGTTTTTATTTCTAATTTATTTTGTCTATGCTCATCACAGCCATTCTCTCTGAGGCTGGTGTTTCAGGACTTGTGGGAGCAAGCAGGCAGCTGTAGGTATGTAATAGCACCACGACATGTCCTTACAAAATCACCAGCCCTTAAATATCTGTCAAACTATAGGTGTTACTGTTAAATGTGACTGTGAAAACACTGGTGCCATCTGGTTGCCATGGTTTGAATTTTGAGTCAACAGGAGACACACACACACACTTCAAAAGAATCACATCTTATCAACTCTGAGCCAACATGAACTTAAATATTGTCTAGGAATTCCCAGAACTCCACCCGGCTAGATGAGTCAACTGTGGACTCATTTTGTAACCCCTTTATTATGTACACGCTCATGTTTATCTGTACTAAGGAGTAAGTTTGAGTCTGCAAGCAAAGTCTCATTCTTATATCTCACAAATTATCATTTTCCTTAACTATTACAAGTTCTTCAGTCTGGCACACACACAACTTAAGGTGTGTATCAAGGATTACTCAACATTCCACAGAAAATGCTACAGAAAAGGCAACAGGGAGGCAGTTTTATTTTTAGACACCTACTAAATGTCAAAAATAGTTGGAAGTGAATGATTCCTCCTCTTCCCCTGAAATACATGCTGACGACGACAGCTATGTAGAGCCATGCAGGGCTGGTAAATGATATTTTTAAAGGAGTCAACTGAGGAGGTAACGTGGCTAATTAAAGATAAACACCTGCTTTCAGGGCAGAAGCTCAAGACACCGAATAAAGAGAGTCTCTCCAGCTTTTGCGTCCTTCACTGTTACTTGCTGTCCATTTTTGCAGAGATGGGGCTGTCTAATGTGACACGGCGCCTGCAGAGAGAAGTGAAATTGAAACCTGTGGTGCAAGAACATGGCACATTATGTGTTAGGCACTTAAATATCCTAACAGGCTGAATAATTGAAAACAGACTCAAGAAAAATACCGCAAAATAACATTTAAGCACAGTGTGTGAATTTGTTTAAAAAAATATAGACATTAGTCAAATCATTTAAACGAGTGTCCTGTGTTCTGTCTTTGTACTCTTTTGTATTTAATACTTGTCCCAATATATTTTCCTTGGCACATGCTTCTGTGAGCCCTGGTCACTTCTTTGCTGTTGTCTATATATGTTTTGGTGTCACGTCTAACGGGACATCTGTGGCTCAGGTGGTCAATCGCAGCATTGGCGCTTTGATTCCTGCTTCCTTTGGTCCACATGACAAAGTGTCCTTGAGCAAGGCACTGAACGCCAAGTTGCTTCCAGTGGCCAAGCCATCAGTGTGTGAATGAGATGGAAATGTTGTAATATGCTTTGTCCATAAAGGTAGAAAGTTGCTATATACCTTAAGTCCAGTCCATTTACCATGTTATGCAAAGTGCATTATAAGTGCTTTGAAGTAAACTGTCTAGTGAAGGGTTTCTGCCCCTGCAGTGAAATACAGAACAAGCAAAACAAACTATTATATAATCAGTATTATCAATCTATTCTCTTTCCACAAAAACAAGTTTCTGTGGAACAAATATCATCTAAACTTACCGTAGCCAAAACATGACGATCTTTTTCACATTTTCATATTCCCAGTCAATTTCACCATCGGATTGAAAAACAACAACTGTCTCTCAACCTTACAGTTTTTGTGGATTGAGAACAGTAGCTAGGAAAATACCCACAATACTAATCTGAATGTTCTGTATTTACATGAGTTAGGGCTGCCATTTGGCTTTATCTGCATGACTCCATACTGGGCACCATGTGGGTGGAACATGACTGCAGGAGTCCTCCTGCCACTGGGCAGGGACGAGCAGTGGGGCTTCAGCCCTCATGCACAGAGTTGTCACCCGTCCTGTCGCTTGATCCCATTTTGACTCAGCAGGCTTACATTCTTGGCAGTATAACATTCCTTCCATCATTGCTCAAGGTCTTTTTCAGTTCTTTCAAAAGAAATTGGCACTGTTTCAGAATAGGATACAAAAAGGGCTCGGACACACTCTGACTTTGTGTCAGATTCAACGTTGAAAATGAAAGGATTCTGGTGCTGCGAGTTGCTTATCTTTGCCCGTACATCAGTGATTAACCCCCCAGTGACCAGGCTGATCTTAGCTATCTTTTGCCCACATTTTATGCATTTGTCTTTTCTAGCACCATTAAAATTGTCTTTACCCCACATGCAAGTCTAACTGCACTTTGATAAGACGACTGACTATTGATTTAACAATGCTCTCAGGTACCAATACATGCAAACTGACACAGGGGCCCATAAAAATGTACATGTCAATTGAATTTCACCAACGAATAGATGGACCCCAGAGGATTTATTTAATGTAGGTTTTGTTCCAACAGAGAAAATGGCCTTCTGGAAAACCCAGGTTTAAATATTTCCATTGTACACCAACAGATCACTGTTTCCCCTCTTATCTCTTTCTATGTGTGTTCCCACTGTCAAAGTCTGCTGTCCTCCATAACCTTTAGAGCATATTTGCATCAGGATTCATCAGCTTCCACTTGTCTACTCTAGGTCATTCCTCTAACCTTTCTTCTTTCTCGTCTCTCTCTTCCTGCCTCCCATCCCTCATGCATAGGCAGGGGGAAGAGATAATTCCTCATTCAACAGCAAACTGCTGACATGTCACTCAACAGGTCACAGCGGTGTCACACATTGACTACAAAGTGTCAGATACTCTTGGTATGTTAGTTCAAACACCCTGGGCTCGCACATTGGGCTTTATGACAAGCAGCTGTAGGCGGAGCTTTTACTTTGACATCATGGTACAGAGGGAGACAAGAAGTATAAGAGTCACAGAGCTCAGACACCTGAGGACGAACAGCCACAGCTGTATGGACAACAGTCTCTCTAGCACTATTCATCTACTATCAACTATGTCTGCTCATACCAGTGTTCTTCTTCTCATCACTCTTTGGACTTCAGTGCAGAATGGTAAGTTTATTTTTGAAAGGTATTTTCTGTAAAAATAAATAAATAAATAAAAGAAAAAAGTTTTATTCTTGTTTTAGAATATACATAAGTGCATCATCCTGAAGTCAGATGTTCTCAGTTAGGGTAGAAGAGACCATTTTAAGATACAGTTTGCTTTATATACATTTGTGGTTTTGTAAGACAACAGTGCACACACACATGCAGCATGTGTGTGTTCACATTGGCATTAATCTAGTCAACAAAGCACAATCACTGTATGTTGGTGTACACACATGTTTTCACAAGCTCAGACACACAGGAAACATAATTGGATAGCAGCTGCTCATTTTCTCCAGGCGACTTTTTTGTTGTTATATATTGAATTACAATTTGTTATATTAATACGTTGACTACAGGTAGTATGAGCATGGCAGTGTCTTTCCGTATGTACTTATCTAAAACAATAGAAGAAAAAGTGGAGTTTGTTAGCCTTTTAGATTTAGCATTATTTTACTGCCCATGACCTCAGCAGGACAAAGCCATTCAAACGTTGCCATCCTGTAACTAAGCCTGTTCACTGACTGAGCACAATGAGCATTATAAAACACCAGAATTTGTGAAGAATATTTCACTTTTTTGTCTCTTCAATTGCAAAATCTATCGTATCCATCTGTTTTATGTTTTTAAAAACCATAGAATACAAAAGAGTAAAAGAATCAGGGGCTGGATTAGATGGAGCAGATGCTGTGTTTGGATCATTGTCATGAGTGGTCCTTCGTCTTGGACTAGGTTTAGGTCTCCCGGTGATTAAACAGCTGGAGGTGGAAGCCAGCGAAGATGCCCCAGAACAAAGAGTGGAGGTGGAAGCCAGCGAAGACGCCCCAGAACAAAGAGTGAGGACCAAACGCTGTGCGTGCAGCAGCCAGCTGGACTCTGAGTGCCATTACTTCTGCCACCTGGATATCATCTGGGTCAATACACCAAGGTGAGCATAAGAAAACACAATGTGTACAGGCATGAACTCTTTTGGACGCACACATAGCACATTCAGTTGTGTGGTGACAGCAATGCTTGTTATTTAAAGCCTCTTAGTCTCATAAGTCATCCCTGTATTCTAACATTAAGCACAGAATCGGCTGAATAAACATGTGCTGTCATTAAATGAGCAGTGGTGTATGAGTTATCAAAGAGCAAAGTCTGCCGAGTGTTTTTATTATGAGCATGGCACTGAGTCTGTTTTACTCCCTGCAGTAAGACAACAGTATATGGTCTAGGTGGTGCTCTGTCCAGACGCAAGAGGTCCACTGGCCGCTGCACCTGTGCCAGCCCTGGTGATCAATACTGCACTAGCTTTTGCCTTCACAGGTGAGTGACACAGGACCAGTGCCAGGCTGTCAGATATGTGTTTCCATTATAAGTTGCTTAGTTTGTAAAGGCAGGTATTATTGCCCTTTGTGGAGGCCAAAGGAATGGTTCATTCTAAGGAAATGACTCATTTTACTGGAAATCTATTATTAGCCCAAATATGTTGCCACTGTGTTCGTAAGTTCAGCTTTTCTGAGGGTGTGATCACCCAGACAGTTCTGCCGAGGCCTGGGGGAAGTCATCTCAAACCAGTGCATAAAGTTCATAAAATCTGTTTCCGATTGGCTGCAAGGCCCAAGGAGTGAAAAGTGTAGGAGTTTGAAGTCAAGAATTCACAGCTTCCTGTTAATGACAGCTAATGTCGCCACCTAGAAAGCGCTAGTGACGAGCCGAGACAGGAGGCAACATGTGAGGTCTGCAAGACATGTTTAAATAGTGGTAGTTTGAAATCATAAATGATAACAGCTGACTGGGTACGGTTTTCTGTTGAAACATAAAATGCTTAATGGGCTTATAAAGATTATGGAGCAGATAGAAAAGAAGTTTTGGTTCCATTTCATTCAAGCAGGTGGTGTTTACAATAAAAATAAAAATGTGAAGCAATAAAATGCAGTGTCAGGTTAACTGTATTTCAAAGGCAGTGCTTAGTTCTATTAACTATTCTATTTCTGCTCTGTGCAGCCCTGAAATCATATCTGTGAAGAGACATCGACTCATCATACTCAGCATCCTAAGGTGAGCTTTGAGCTACAAGAATATTACAAAAAAAAAAAAGTACTCCACATTCTTCCTGACCATTTTGATGAAACTTTGCATCCCTCAGAGCCGTGGCCAGCAGGTCCATGAGAACTTGGGATGCAGCGGAGCCAAACAAAAACAAATCCTCTGAGGCTCAGAGGCAGAATGCTCACCAAACAATGTGGCTTTTAGAGCAGCGAGAGTGAGAAAGAGTGCAGCGGGCATCTGAACAAATGGCACTAGACAGGGAGACAGAGGGCTGCCAAAAGACGTGTCTGGTGCAGGATGGCTGAAAGCACCACAGAGATGTCTGTTTGTCCCTGAGAACAGAGGGTGGAAAGCACCACAGAGTTCTACAGACACATCCAGAGGATCGGCACTGAGGAGCTATTACAGTATCAGGATAGGAGCCTACTCTTGGTCATCTGGTCGTCTGGTCTGTAGGACGAATGTTCAGGCCAGGCCAGCACTGACACACAGTAGAAGAATGTACTGTAATGAAGGGAAAGGGACGTGCATACTGAACATAACCTGTACAGGAATTTGTCATCAGAATTTCACTAATTCTTTTGTAAAATACATATATATATCAACAAATTTGCTATTTTATACTTTAGAAAATAACTTTTATCCTTTTGACTATGATTATGAACTTGAGGATGGTATAGGAATACTGAACAATATGTTTCTGTGCAAGAGTGTAAAGCAAATAAATTAAGCTTATATCAAGCCTTTACTATTTGTCTGTCAATGTTTAAGAAAGTGCACTGTGTAAATAAAGAGACTTCTGTTTAGAAACCATCTGTGAAAAATAATTCGAGAGAAAATAAGTGTTCTTTGCGGCATGTGTGATTCTATTGTTTGACAAGCAAACACATTTCTGAGTACAAAAGGAGGCCTGTGACGGTTGAATGGTCCAGGAATTCAAGGCTCACAGTGATAATAAGCTCACCTGCTATTCAAAGGCAGCACAGCCTGTGTTATCGTAAGGATCTGTGGAAGGAATGCAGCGTATGTAACTTTGCTCAGAGGTTCAGAGAGAGGAATAAAATGCCCTAACAGCCTATGCCCCTCTCTGATTGCTACATAGTCCACGCCCACCTGAATATGCAAGACAAGTGCTGGAGATAGGGAACACAACAGATGATTCACTGTTATCTAATAATAAATGTGTAACAAACTGACCTCCTTTGGCTTTGCGAGCAAATAGGTTTGATAACTGATAATAGTCAAGTGTTAACATGGCTCTGGTTTCAGTAGTAGGTTTTCCTGCTTCATTGCACTTCATTCCTTTCATACTCCTGCCTATACTTTGTTTTTCTGGAGAGACCCTGCAGCCATTTCTTCCAAACAGGTCTGAGCACAGCTACAGCCTGGCTCCAGACAGTATGACGAACCAGGGTGCCAACCGCCACAGCAGAACAGCGGACACTACTGGGTACAATTATGCAGGACTCATACCTTAATCAGCTTGACATCTCACCTTCACATATTTGTTTAAACTTATAAACAATGTAAAATCTGAGTTTTATGCTTGACGGATCAGCGTTCAACAGTATTTTTATTTAATGTAGCTTGCAGTGGTTTTACTTGTCTCATGCAAACAGCGTTCAAGATGTAATGAAGCCAGTTGCAGGTACATTGCTGACACACAATAAACTTTAAGGAGCACTCTTCACTGATCCAACTGAGGAGTCTTTAATGGGCCAGGCCTACATTTTGGAAATACATTTATTTATATTTATATTTATAGGCTTGATGCCAATCTCACATAGTCCTGATGTAAACAGTGTGGCATCATGTTATATCTAGTTTGTTTAATCCGTGCACAATGTGATGAGTAAAAATGACACCAGATTTAAAAAATGGCAGGACACTTTAGAATGGCAGTCATACAACATAAACTTAGTTGTATGCTACAAAAAGACCTGTAAAGATGAGAAAATGTGACAAAATGGCCCCACATATAAGCCCCTATAAAATCACACCATGTCCATTTTTCACTTCATTTCTGTATGAACTAAACAAACAACATACAAAGTGTAGTGGGCTTTAGAGGCAGCTGACTTGCTGGTCCTCTGTGTCTAGTCTGTTGGGTGTACCCATGTAGAAATACCTTACAGATATACAAGGGGTATACAAGTTTTGTCTGTTTTGACAAGAGAGTGAAAAAGCATATTTCTAAAACATCCTTTATGTTGACCAAGAAAAGGATGGCTTTTGTCTTTGCCTGTCTTACCTTTTGTTAAAGTCTTGCTAATGTTTTATTCATTAAATTGCAGTAATTTATTGTTTAAAGCAGGCTTCTGGAAAGTTCTGCATTATTGTCATAATGTCAACATATTTCAGAAAATCAGAAAATAAAAAAAACAAAACAAAATCAACCTGCTCTACTACTGAAGACTCTAAATCTAAACGTGTCTCTGTGTCTTTCACAGCAAACAGGAAACATTTTCAACATTCATGTGCGTGTAAAAAAGGGAAGGTGTGGGCCAGTCTAAGGTCAGTCACAGGAAATGATATGCTGCCTTTATAGGTTGATGACAGGCTGTGGTGATTTGCTTAACACAAAGCATTTGTTCATACCGGTTGCGAAGCAGCAGCTACAGCAACAATAATCAACAGCATTTACTACTCCGTCTGACATCCACACAGATAAAGATTATTAAAAAACATGCTAACGTTTAGTAATGATTAACTGATTCTAGGGAACGAGAAATTATGACTCTTACTGTGTCAGCTGGGCTTTCAGCGGCCACAGGGAGAACTCTGTCCATGGTGCTGGAACCGGGGAGACTCCAGTGAGCACGTCACCGTCGCCACCAGACATACAGAACAAATTATTGGTTTCCAGCAAAGCTTTGAGTGTAACTGTTACTTTAATGAAATTTTTGTCTTAAACAGGTATACAAGGAAAAGAGGGGAGAAATTGAAATAATTGCAATGACATTTTGACTTGTCACTTGTCACAGAAAGTCACTGTTCACATTAGTAGCTCTCTTCCTCCTATGAACAGTTACATTTTCTGCTGTACAAAAGGCAAATTGTCTTTATTTTAAGTAGTAGTGAGGGAAAAAATCTTCCACATGTCCTAGAGCACTAAATAAGTGAAAATGTCTATATAAATAAAAGACTTTCTACTTATTTCTCTGTTTCCAGAGGCTGTAGAGTTCCTCATTCTTCCTCATCAATAACTCATCATGAATCCTGATTAACTTCCCGATTCCTGACTATTTCGTAACAGTAGTGAGCACGCGGCTGGTCCATTTGATAAAACATGTTCAATTTTATTTTTAATAAAAAGGATTAAATGGAGTCCCAGGTTATACTGGACACACAGTAGGCTTCTCAGGGCTTCTGACTGCCTCTGTTACTGTGTCGACTTGAGCCAACTTTGAGCTCCAAAACAGGAAAATCAGAAGCAAGCTCTTGTCTCCCACTTACTCTTCTGGGACTTAGGCTGTGTCTGGCATTGTGTTGTTTGGCTCCAAGTCCTACTGCAGATATATAATGTACCAGATATGTCCTCTTTAAAGACTTTTTAAAAAGCTTTATTTATTCAGGGTAGGTTCACTGAAGAGGCCACTTCTCTTTTTCAGGAACGCCCTGTTCACATTCATGTTGTTGCACATTCACACCTGCAAGCTGCCCAGTATACCCACAGAGCAGCTCCACTGGAGCAGTTGGGGGCTAAGGGCCTTGCTCATGGGCACCACAGTGGTGTTACTGAGGGTAGAGCAAGCAATGCTTTGTCACCTTTCCTACCAAGATTTAATCCTGCTGGTCTGGGAATTGAACCAGCAACCTTCCAATTACAAGCTCACTACACTAACCTTTAGTCCACCACCCAAAAGGAGTAAGATGTAGGTTCTCTTCTACTACTACCATGTGGTTCCTAATATTAACACTTAGAGATTTCGCCTGGCAGTAGTCCAAATGTTCTGTTATGTAACTCACAGATACTGTATGTATACATTGCACCTGGGAGTTCTTGCATGTAACCATGAGACATGAAGACTGTGAAGTAGACACTGACCTACAAGTGTCTCTTAACATGCAGGTATAGGATCAAGAACATCTGGTGCAGAAATATTTCATGTGTGCATGTGTATTTATCATTGAGGGGAAGTGACCATGATCTAATTGCCATCTGTTCCCAAAATACCAGTGGACTGTGGTCAGCAATGCTATGTGCTAAATTGTGGTATGCATAATCTGCTTTATTCACACTGTGAGCATGATCCAATTGGACAGCTGTTAGTCTCCCAAATGAGTCAGACTGTATACCACTCTGTCCTCTTCCTATTCTTCATAGGTCAGGGGTTATCTGCCTCTGTGTTTGATCTAAGACAGGAGTGGAGCCTGTTAGGTTTCCACAAAGATTCATTCTGCAGTAACTCAGCAAAGGGGAAACTAGTCAGAGTGAAACTAGTTAGAGTGAAACTAGTCAGAGTGAAACTAGTTAGAGTGAAACTAGTCAGAGCAGAGTGAAACTAGTTGAAACTAGTTAGAGTGAAACTAGTCAGAGTGAAACTAGTCAGAGTGAAGACCAGGATCTACTGTTATTCAGTCCTGATACAGCCAGTGGTCAAATACCCCACAGCTGTTGCCCAAGAATGTGCAATGCAGCAGTATTCCCCCAGTGTCTCAGCGCCCCCAGTGTCCCACACACATTCTCTATACACGTACACAACTGCACACAGCTGTTGCTGGAGACTGTCTTCCAACAATACTGTACTGTATCATGCAAAGACAAACTGATCCTAGAGCTAGGACGTACACTACCACATATACACAGCAACACAGCAGCGCACTCACAGCTGTCATTAGCAATACTAGCTAGCAGAAGTTATTAAAAGTGGCAAAGTTTTAAAGTCTGTCAGAGAAGTGAGAGTTTCTGTCTTCAAAATGTGCTGCAGCTCATTCCCGTGGTGAGGAGCATAGTACTGGAAACCAGTTTTCCCCAGTTGAGAGTCTGATGAGGAGCTTTTAAAGCTTTTAAACCCAGTCTACTGACATGTACACATACTGTATGTATGCAGTGGATTGCTCCTCCAAATCAGTTCAAACTCATTTTCTGCTCAGCCGTATTGGTATTGGTATCATTATATCAGTATGTTTTCATTTTCAGCCATTTACCATAAGATAATGTTATGTAACTAGTGTTCTTTAATGTTGTATTTACAATAAAATTGAAATAGTATCATAAAAGAATTAGGAACACCTCTGAATATAATGTAGTCCAGTACAACACCATCTTTAACTATGACTTCAGTAGTAAACATATAAGTGAATTTATATACTTATTGAATTGCATACAATTGTACAGGTGTACCTAATAAAGTGGTGGGTGAGCATAAATGTGCCACCAGCTTCCTCAAATACATCAACCTTCACAGGGGTTTTAAAGAGTTTTTATTGGGTTAGGTTTGCCTGTGGTGGGCTTAAATGCTTCCTTGTGTTAATATTGTGATATCTACCAACCTATAATGTATTTGTTGCTTTGGGGATAAATCCTTTCTGTGAAGTTAGTGGAGAAGTATGCTGCTACTGCAGTTGGCCAGTAGATGGCCTCTCGCTACCATAAACTCAAAATAGAGGCACCTACAGTCATTTGAGTCACCTGAGGACACCACAAATTCAGGCTCCGCCACTCCTATTTTCAGCTTTATGACACCACAATTTAGACACCACAATTTATGGTAGAAGATATACTAAAGCCATTGTAAGCAAACTGATTTTGGATTAGCATTGGTTAGATATGTGCAATTATGTGTGTTGTTGCCATTTGTTCATTTGTTTTGTTCTGCATGTTTGAAAGAATAAAATCAATCAATCAATCAATCAATCAATCAATTGTCCAAATGGATTTAAGATAAGACTGGTAAAGACATTACCACCCACAGAAACCAATACTACCATCAGTAAGACTTGCATCCTTCAGTTTCTCAGTGTGGGACTTTTGAAGGATTATTTTGACATTAGGATGCTGCAAGTTTCACTGTGAAACAAAGGATGTTGTTCCACCACAGTTGTACAGTCACATGCTAGAAACTCCCAGAAACCGCAGTCAGTCTAAGAAGTAAAGGAAGAGTTCATTTGTCTGTCAGTTTCCTTAAACCAACATAGTTTAGAGAATGTACAAATATACCTAAATATGACAAATCCTAATCAGATATTTCACTCAACTATACTATGTTACAGAAACCTTACCATCACCATCAATCACAAATTAGTGGGAACTGTACCTGTTACAAACACCTTTTAAAAGCTTAGTGTTGCACTGTAAAGAAAGAAAACAAATAAACCACAAAAGTAAGAACAGGAAAAGAGATATATGGTGATTTATTCATTTTTCTGACTTGTGAAGGGGCTGACTGACTGTCAGGGCTTCTGTAGCTGCACTGCTGCTTTGGAGCAGGTTACATATCTATAGTCTGTCTGGGGGGTTTTGGCTTGGAAACAGTTGGTGATGCAGGAAATGGTTGTAGAAAAACAGAGTACTGAACCTTAATTCTGTGGGGTCAGCATGACTATATGCTGCCATGAATATGTGTGATGTTTTGTTTCAAAAATAAGACATCTGCCATTAACTCATTAACACTCTTCCAAACGGATTTCTGACATGGAGGTTAAAGAGATGGTGAATGTCCTGAAGCTAACTCTAGGGAATTTTGTTGATTTCTGTTTTGTTTCTGATTGTTTTTGTTTTTGTTACAGACAGAGACGTCATGTCTGTATCATGTGCAGTTTAGGACTATATTTCTAAAGTTACCCCCCATAACTTGGGGTGGGAAGTTGACTAGTGTCATATATGATGGTAAATAATGACCGCAGGCTCTAGTTCAGCTATATTTATTAAAATAAATGGTGGGCACAAGGGGATATCAGGATGCTAAGATTTCTTCCTTCTCAGGATGGGAAGCTGGATAATAGCCTATAACCTCATGCCCCTCCACCCCCTTTTCCCACCCCAGATCAATGCACTGCAATGCCTGTTGGGTACTGAAGTCTTCACAACACAAAAAACAGCCACGGTTGCAACGTCCATAGAGTAGCTGCAGCTTGCACTGAGGACTACTGGTACCGAGATGCTCAGCTCGGAGTGGTTTCCGGTAAGTGCATAAAATGTTTGGACCGGGCACTGGAAGAGGTGAGGAAACGAACAGGTTGCTGGTTTAAGTTCGGCTGTGACACATTGTAAAGGAGGAGGCAGAGGAGAGAGGGTAAGTGAGGAGAGATGTAATGTGGCTGCTGAGGCCCTGTGGGGGGGAGGAGATAAGGCACAGAGTTTGGAGGCAAGAAGAATTCTCCGTGGACTCTAGTTGCGATTAAACTTGGTCGATACAAAACAAATAGAGTAAGTTACACGGTTACAGTGCAGTGTTGGGTGTGCACATCAGGTTTTTCTGCAGATCACCGGTGCCATAGGACGCATGTTTTGTGCTGCCTTTAAGCTGAAATCACTACTGCTGAGGCGCCGCCAGCAACTCCACTGATGCTCTGCACAGGCGTCCGTGCACAACAAAGGATGCATGTGATCTCCGGGATGTAGAAGTTGTGTGTCGATTTCTCCCATTGCAGCCCGTTTTAATGTGGAAAATACCTTTGTGGACCTTTAGAAACGCTTTCCCCTGCCTCATCTTTAGCTGTGAGATGAGGATGATGTTTGCACCTGAAAAATATCAGTTTCCAAATAAATGTAGCCTAGACCAACTTTAAATTGTAATCTATAGCTTTATTCTCAGGCCCCGGATAACGCCGGTTTTGCACAAGGCTACAATTAAAACAACAAAAAAACCCCATAAGCCTAAATAATAATTACCAAATTAAAAAGGCAACATGCATGAGCTGCTTCAAGCCCTGTCTACATGTATGAGAAAAGCAAAATTAGACAGCAACAAAAATACACCCGCGCATAACACATTCTACTTCATGTTGTGATGTTTAATACAAAACATGCGGTATTCGTTGGCAGTATTTATTTTGAAATGCGTGACAGGAAGTCGCTCCGTTCGTCTTTGCGGGCTTGACTCCGGTCTCTAACACTGGCGAGGTCCGCTGCAGGAGACGGAGCGAGGCCGGTCGGCGGTGAAAGCCTCCTCACATCCTCCGTGTCCTCCTGTCCGGGAGTAACAGCTGCTTCATTTGATGCTGTTAGACCGAGACAAGCCCTCAGGTAATCTGTATTCCTCCTTAGGACAGAAAGCGGTCAACTAGTAGTCAGACTAGTCTCAGCCCTGCAATTAGAGAATAGAGCTCTGTTTAGATCTAATTAGGGCAGATTGTTGGGGGAAAGATGGAAGAAGACCTGATACACTTGCCTCTTCATCACAGGGAAAACTGTGCTTGCATGGCTCTGAAATTAAAATGTAATTTGGGAATGAAAAGGGAGGCTAGCAAAGCTTTCTCCTGTGTATTTTATTTTTTCTAACTTCGTTGTATTACAGGAGGAGAAGGAGAGAGGATTTTGTTCAAGGACACTAAGCTACTGGATGCCCTAAGGAACATAGGCTTACAAGTGTCAGTTCAAGAGTAGGCTGAACACTTCCTGTCAGAAAACCTACTGATGGAAGATGTTGTTGTTAAAAGCATGTTTCCGTAATTATCGATTTATTGTCTGTATCACTTTTTTGTTATTTATTGTAATCATTAATACACATAGACCCCTTGAAGCCTAATAGCCAGGTCTATAGTCTGGTCGGGCGCCTCCTCTCTCCTCCTCCTTGAGTCTTCACCTCACAGTAACATGAATTACCTCTGGTTTTCATCTGCCAGTGGTGTAATAGCTCCCGAAGTTAATTTGCTTGTGCAATAGAAAAACTGCCCCGTGGCTCATGTTGTAGCTCTTTCCACTTCCCTCACTGGAAGTCCTCCCATTTTAATGGGCCATTAAGAGGCAACCGGGATGGTTAAGCTCTCAGCTGGGCCTGATTGATTCTGTTTGACCACAGATGAGACCAATGTGCACCTGAGATTCCTCCGAAGCTCTCAGCTACACGTCTCTCCTCCACCCCCCACCCTTCTCCAGGCAGCAGCCTCTGTCAGGGAGCAGAGGTGGACATGGCTTTAAGCTGGAGGTGCTGAATGCACAGTGAGCATACGTTTGTACCATGTGGATGGCTCGATGTGTATGATCTGTTACTTTCCATGTAGGTACGTTGTGTTGCATGGCAGTGAGTTATGCTCCATCCCCCCCATAGTGCAGCCATCTTCACACAGGTGGAAGGACGCTGAAGAGGAAAGGTTTAGCAAAGGCGAGGAGCATTTTGGGCTCCTTGTGAAAGTGGGCCACCGGTCCCTGTGGTGAAGGGTGCTTTTCTGGGACAGGCGCAGTGATGATGCTCACCCTGCCCAGATTGGGAACAGCCGCCCTCGTCCATCCGTTTCGGAGAGGGCTACGGAGCTGCGCAGCTTTGATACACATTGCAAAAGGGCCAAGCAGAGAGACCGCAGCTTTGACTTGGTTGTTACACCTTTCCATCTACAATAAAATATCATAGTTGCGTGTCTGGAGCAGGCCTGTAAGTACACTTCAGCTCAGTCCACCTGTCTGAGGTATTAAATCAGTTGTTCTCTAATTTTTGTAGTAAGAAAGTTACTTGTTACGCAGCCTGTTTCAGATAGGTGTCTGAAGAGTGGAATTGATGCTTGTCCTCCACTGACTTGGCGGCTTTCTGAGCCCAAACCTCGAGCCCTGGAGTGAAAAGTGCGCTGCTATTTAAAGATGACATAACCCAGCCAGCTGCTGCCATTTCCGCTCTCATTGTAATCGAATCAGCTCTAGTAGAGTGCGCCAGTGAGGGTGTGTGCGCTCCACGGAAGATTATACAGTCTGGACTTCTGGACGGCCTGCAACGGCTACTTTCACATAGAGTACCTGGCTGGTGGCTCCTATTTTTGGTGACGGACCCAGAGAAGAGGACGAAATTCCAGCTGCTGTCAACCATCCTAAAACCATGCTTCATGAGAAGGATGTGGGTTTGTAATTTGAGTTCTCAGACAAGGTAGTTCATCCTTCTATAGAGTTCTATTCAGAATTATAGCACAGACAATGATTGATGAGGCTTGGATGTAAGTTTTGAATTATTTATTTTCTTCTCTGTCTGGTTTCTTAAGCTCTAACTGGATATTTATAGGATTAATTAGTGATTTACTGTACATCATATCTTCTTTTGCTTCTGCTTTGTATAGGGATGTGGGATGGCTGTCAAAAGCTTTCATGGGACTCAGTGACAGAGGTCCTTCACAGTTTAGGCAGACTCATCACTGTCATATTGATCTGTTCTGTAGGACAGGGAGACAGTTAACAACTCAAAAGGGAACTGGGCCATCAACATCCCTTTTTATGGGCACATTCAGAGATTGGGTGTGAATGTGAAACAAAAAGCAAATATTTAAACCTAGAATGTATCTGCTCAGGTAACTTCTTTTTGGGTCGTGCATGTTGTAGTTGACCTGGAGTGAGGCGCATTATGCACAAATAGCATATGAGGCTGTGGCTGATGTGGAAAATTCTCTGTGTTTGTAGCTCTAGCCCCTCACTAGGTCGGATACGCTCTACTTGCAGACTCCAGAGATATTTTCTCTTTCCCGGGTTAGAGACAAACTCTCACCACTCGGCTCTGTTATTTTGAGTCATCCAGCCAAGGCTGTGGCACCGGGCGAGTGTAAAAAATTTCATCTCCGACCACGGATATTTCTGACTCCTCTCAGCGTTATTAGGGTTCTCCTCTAGTCTGTGTATGGCTGTAATATGACAACTGCAGTACGTGGAAGCCCACTCTGTGTGCTTTTTATCCAGGACTGTTGGTCTGATTGTTGTTTGTTACTCAGGCTTCTTCTTTTGATGGGGAAGTTGACCTCCCAACCTGCCAGTAAACCGACCTAGAAGAGGAACAAAGAATATAAAATACAGAATATATCACACTGTTGGACAGCCAGAGCTTGACCGCATGGCAGGTCGTGATATAAGCCCTGATGTGGCATCAGTCTGAAACAAAAAGGGGGGTGGGGGGTGTGGGGGGGGGGTTGTGCTTTTACTGTATCTCTCCATTCATTGAAGATAACATTATCCCACAAGACAACGGACGTAGAGGTTTGGTTAGACCACTGATTATCTGAAAAGTAAGATGATGTGGAAGTCCATTAGACCACCAGGATTACTTTGCCATGAAATCCATCAGTGATGCTGAGAGAGGAACTGAAGGAATGTTGTGGTCACTTTTTTCACTTGTGGCCACTTTTCTCACTTGTAGCTTTAACCAGCATTTTTTTCTTCTCACGTTATGGCTTTTTGGTTTCTCACGCAGAGCAAATGTGCTTGTTTTTCTCAGTCGCCCCAGAGCATGTGGTTTTTATCATATTGCAGCTATATTATTGCAGAGAATGGAGGATTTGTAGTGCAGTGTGCGTTTATAGCCAATGATTAATTTTCGTTCTTTTTTTAAGTTTAAGCAATTAATTTCTAAATGCACAGTTCCCCAGATCACAAGCTGGTGTCTTAAAATGGCTTAAATATTAAATTTAAAATGATTTAAAACAAGTGAGGATCTGCTACATTTCTACTGTTTTAGTTTCTGGTGAGCTTTTCTGATCTGGTCTCAAACTTTTGAGCAATACTGTATTTTGCTATTCGATATCACATTAGCGTCTTTCCAATGATTTAAAAAACCATATTTCTAAATATAACAAGTGCGTAGTTTATATTCCGGTGCTTAAAAAGGCTTAGTCCAGTGCACTTGTCCAACATAAGAGTTTAATTTTATTATTGAGGTGTTTCAGTGAAAGTGCTGTAACTTTTTGCACAGGAATTGTTTGAATAATGCACAGCTGGAATCAAAGGTCAGAGCAGGTGCTAGGAAACCCTTCCCCCACATGGTTTTAACACTGCTATCAGTACGACCTAACAGAAATCAATTCACACTTGGGTCATCCACTTTTGAGGATCACTGCGCTGTAGCATCTCCTCTTCTTTAGTTGGCCAGAGGAGTGTTTTGCTGAAGTCCATCTACTTCAATTTGTACCAACCTGTGTCTTCTCGGATGTTCTTACACAGTAAGGTTTTATGATTTGCCTGGTTTGTAAGGTCTTCCCTCTTTGTTCAGCTGCATGCTACAGATTGTGTGCGGCTTCACAATACTTTTACTCTGCTTTTCAATCTTTTTTTTTTTTTTGTCCTTGGAAAAAAAAAATACAGCATGACTGCTCAAATCAGCAACACTAAAAAACATGCTCATACTCGTTCCTGTGGTTTAATGTTGTCCTGGCTGCAACACCTACACACAGTTATACAGCTGAGGTTGGTCCTTAAGCACAGTTGTACAGCGGCAGCTTTGGTACATGATAGGCAGGGTGCATGGCTGTTTTTGACGCATCTCCTAAATAAAGCTTCATGTAGACTGCAACTTATAAATGGGGTGTTGCTTCGTAGGCGTTTCAGCATGTTTCTCTGAATCCCCTGATCACCATTAATGTTTAATTTTCACTCTGTCTTGTAACTATAATCTGATTGTCATGTGTAATTCTGTATTTTTTTTATTTTTTTTGTTTTGTCAGAGAGGTTAAGATGGGTGGAGCTACCATCGTCAGCATGCTGAAGACGATACCGCTACACTGCTGCTGAGGAACTCTACCACCTCCACACCACCCATGACTTTGAACAGTGTATGTCTACAACTTTATATTTGCACAAATCTACAGTTAATGATGCTAAAGTCATATGTACAGTGTTACACATCCCAATTTTAAAATAAAATTGTGTATCAAAGGTATTTTGAAAATTTGCTTGGCCATTAAGTTTGAGACTGAAAAAAGTTTAGATTTTTTTTTTCTTCTGAACACATTTAATTTACACCGATCAGCCATAACATTATGACCACTGGCAGGTGAAGTGAATAACACTGACTATCTGTTACAGATAGTCAGTGTGTGGGGTATATTAGGCAGCAAGTGGACATTCAGTCCTCAAAGTTGATGTGTTGGAAGCAGGAAAAATGGGCAAGTGTAAGGATCTGAGTGACTTTGACAAGGACCAGACTGTGATGGTGAGATGACTGGGTCAGAGCATCTCCCACACTGCAGGTCTTGGTGGGTGTTGTTGGTCTGCAGTGGTTAGTACCTACCAACAGTGTCTAAGGAAGGACAGATGGTGAACTGGTGACAGGGTCATGGACGCCCACGGCTCGCTGATGATGAGGTTGACCTACTGTAGATTAAACATGTAAATTTCATTCATCCTTTTCAAAAGATTCATTTTGTTTGAATCTATGTTAAAATGTTTGAAAATGAGAAACACTGTACATTGGTCTCTATGAAGAGAAACATTCAGCAGCTATAGTGGTGATATCACACCTACAGTGGGGATGCTGCTGAATGTGTCTAAAACATTATCTCACTTTTCACTCCTTTTACTATGAATGGTCGACACATTCATGCTCTTCCTGACAGTAGAACTATGGAAGCAAACTGATGCACAGTGAGCTGCAGAGCGACATGAGCACCAACCAACTGCTGCGCTGACTCCTGTATACATGGTATTAGGCAGGTGGTCATGATGTTATGGCTGATCATTGTATTTATTCCAATCACATCAATGTACAAATTCAAAATGAAATATACTTCATGAGGAGAATATAACTGCATTTCTTTGTGCAACCTTCTGTGACTCAAAATGGGCTCAAAACATACATAAACATTAGAAATAAAAGGTCTAGTCCCAGTTCTTAACAGCCATTACTTAACAAGTGACATATAAAAACCAAAAGCCATAGAGAAGACGATATTTCTCAGCTCCATGTCTTTGAATTATTCTTTTTCTGTACCCTGTCTTGAATTGATAAATATTCAAAATATTCCTTTGCATCCTCGAAAAAGTTCCACAAATTGATGCCACATACTAAATGAAATGCACATCTGTTTTAAAGTAGTCCCTGCATAATGATATTGAAAATTAAATGTCCCTCTGTGGCCCTCATCCTCAGAACTGAGAACAAACAACGTCTGTATTATTCCTGGCAGTGATCTGTTTTTTCAGCTGTAATATTGTCCCTCACAACAACAGTCATGAAAGCACAGTAGATGGTAGAAATATTTAATTGTATCCAAAATTTAAACTACAATTTCTTCAGTTAAATAGACATGACAATATACAGTTTGACTTTGAATTTGGCTTGAAAGTGGCTCAGAATTATTGGCATTATCTTTAGATGCTTCAGATACTTTTATACTGAAAAGATTAATCAGGGATTTTAAGGAATTTTAATGAATAAAATTTAAACCACAATGTTATTGAAGCATGGCTTGTGAAAAGGGTTTGGGGAAAAACAAATGACTATTGTTGCTACGGTCGTTTAACAGAAAGTGTCTCAGCTTGAATCTGAAACTGGTCTTGATGTTGTTTTTCAGGAACCATTGACTTGTGCGCCTCAATCTCTGTAATGGAAAATCGTGGTGAGTACCATGTTGCTTGTTGTGGTTTGTTAATGCAGCGGACAGAGCTGTAGATCCGCGCATCTCCATGTACATTCTGTGTTTATGGGATCGCGTGTTTTCTGAGTCGCTCAGGACTCCAGCCACATATCTTCTTAACCTCAGGGCCTGATTGAGGATCAGTTTCCCCTCCCAAACCTCAGCCTTCCAGGATTTTTCTTGGTCAACATCAGTGTGTGTTTGCTGTGCGTGAGAGACGCCACAGTGAATACTTTTGTATCATTGTCTTATAAACTTTGTCAGGTTTGACCTTGAGAGCTCTACTGAGATGTGCTGCTTATCCTTCCTGGTGTTATCCACTATAGCTGACCCTTGCCCTTCTTGTAAACCCAGCCACTGTGCAGGAAAAGGACCTTCTCACCTTGATTATGTCAACTGGTGGTTTCTGGTCAACTCCCACCTGCAGCTCTTCACTTACCTCAACTTCTTTTTTGTAACACCCTTCTGGTAAAAAGCAAGTAAGCCGTCCCTGGTGACTAACTCTTCCTGTGGCTACTTCACAATAAAAGCCAAACAGAGTTCGCAGCATTACAACACTGAAAAAACAGAACTTTTTATTTTGTTAGTATTATTTTTAACCTTTATTTTACCAGGATAAGTCCTGCTGACTTTAAACCCCTTTTTCAGTGGTATCCCTGGAAGTGCTTTAAAGGAATAGTTTTGCATTTTGGGAAATGCACTTACCCACTTTCTTGACAGGAGTGTGATGAGAAAATTGACACCACTGTCATGTCTGTGCAGTAACTGTGAAGCTACAGGCAACAGTTGCTTAGCTTAGCTTAGCTTAGCATAATGACTGAAAATGGGGAGAAACAACTAGGCTGGCTGAGTCCAAACGTACAGAGACCCCTAGAGCTCAATAACTAATATGCAATATATCATTTGTTATATTTATGTATGTTTTTAAAATGTAAAATCAAACAATCAAACACAAAAGTGGAGTAAAAGCAGCAATTTGCTTATTTTACCCTGGTTCCTGTCTTTGTACTAAGCTAAGCTAACCAGCTGCTGGTGGTACAGTAGCTTCATATTTAGTTCAAAAACATGAGCAGTATCCAGCGTCTCATCTAACTAAATCGGTAATTTTTTTTTCTAAATGTCCTTTAACAACATGCTAACATTTAGAAATAAATGCAGGTTTTCTCTCTTCATTGTTTGTTTGGTCCCTGTGATGCTGGTGGTTAGTTTATCTTTAAACAATGAAAATGCCTGTGTGCACAAACAATTCTAACATTTGTCAGGATGTTCTATTGAAAAGGTCCATTTTCTGTCATGACTCAGACGTAATGACAGAGTTCCATAGTGCTGTCGTTAAGGCATGTTTCATACTCTCCCATTGGACAGGGCTGTGTATGTACAGTGGGTACGGAAAGTATTCAGACCCCCTTAAATTTTTCACTCTTTGTTATATTGCAGTCATATGCTAAAATCATTTAAGTTAATTTTTTTCCTCATTAATGTACACACAGCACCCCATATTGACAGAAAAACACAGAATTTGACATTTTTGCAGATTTAGTAAAAAAGAAAAACTGAAATATCACATGGTCATAAGTATTCAGACCCTTTGCTGTGACACTCATATATTTAACTTAGGTGCTGTCCATTTCTTCTGATCATCCCTGAGATGGTTCTACACCTTCATTTGAGTCCAGCTGTGTTTGATTATACTGATTGGACATGATTAGGAAAGCCAC